AAATCCACTATGTTTACAATCTAAATAAGCTGTTACGTCCATTATACTAAGTTTCGATCTAAGTTTCGTTTATATGTAAGTAATACCTACCTTTTCTTTAACGTTTTATAAATCCACTATGTTTACAATCTAAATAAGCTGTTACGTCCATTATACTAAGTTTCGATCTAGACCTCGCATATTTATCGATTAAACAATCCTCGACCTTGCTATAAAAGTGTAATCCCTACCACTTACCTTATTCCCAGTGACATAACCAACGACCACATTTCTAGCTCCTTTTAATATTCGGCTTAACAAACAGGATACTCACAGTAACCTCCCACTAGTTTACAACTATACAAAAACAGACTGGAGAAAGTTTCATTTTATCTGACACCATAATAATTTTTGATACATACAAAACTGAAATATGTATGGATTAAATTAACTTTCATACAAGTTAGTGTACAATCCTTGTTATATTTCTGCTGTTACTTAGTCAAGTCAGTCCACTTGGAATATAATAAAAGTTTTATTCTGTTTAAATATGTGATATTTACAATATATTTACTGAAAATAATTATTAATTATAATAGTGTGTCAGGCATACAACAAATGGTCATAAGTTCAGACTGTATTAGTCGGCTTAGAACAAAAGACTGATTCTATTTAAATATGTGAGATTTCATTATACACTAACTGTTGTATCATGTTTAGAAACATTGTTGCTATATATTAGACGAAGATTTCAAATCATTGAGAATGGTTAGTTTTGACTTATCAAGCAGCAGCAATAGGTTTATTTTAAACCAAAGACAGAACGTTGGTTTTGTTTGCTTAAACATTTTCATTGGGATTTATTACACTGACAATCAATATCATAACAATTACATGCAAAACACACTGTCTAAATTTATCTTGGGGAACATCATGTTGACATCTCCTTTTTCAAAAATCCATTTCCCATGTATTATGTTACATACTTCTCAACTGTCTTTGTTAACACCAAAAATACACGAGTCATACCCTTGATTTAATCACTGTTATTTTAACGACTGTCCGTAGAATTTTAACAAATCTATTGTTTTCATTTGTCAAGTAATCTAGACAAAAATATGCTCTTACACCTTTATGTCATTCGTCTTGTAGTTCATTTTGCTGCAATTAAAAATAATAAATGATTGACTTACTGTTTATCCATACATTTTCTATTAAAAGTTCACAAAACATTGAAACTAGCTCGTAGACCCATATGATCTCGAACTAGTGCCAAAGATTATCACGTGGTTACACCCATACACTTATGCTATGAGCGGAGGATATTGACGTCATTGTCTTAAACGTCATCAATAGTTAGAAAAAAGAGGCTGTCACTATTTTAGGGGATCGTCACATATTATTCTTTAACCAATTAGTTTACTAATATAGAAAATACTTAAAATAACAAACTTACCATTTTCTATATATTCTTCACTTTAAGTTTAAATCATACCATACAAATAAAACTCACACAACTTCGCAGCTATCATTCTATATCATTAAAAGCCACTAAGTTAGAATAAAATTCAAAGTTCTGTTTGCTCAGTATCATTTCAGTCAAACTTTGAAACTGCTCTGTTCTTAGATGGTCGTCACGCATATCAGTTGAAGGTAAGATTAACCTTACTGTAGACTCTTGTTTTATCATATTATTAATCACATAGAAAAATCACCACAATACCGAAAATTAGTTGACAATCATAATCGTAAAAGAACCTTTACTTGTGAATCAAGTAATTATTCTTCGACTATTTCAAAACAGTTATATTTCCTCTTATGGATTTTGAAATTGTTACCATAACATAAATTATCTTTCATTTCACTTTATCAAATGTATAAAAATCATCAGTTATAAATCAGAGTTCTATGATTTACTTATATGAAACTCACTTCTCATCATAAACTAATATACTACGTTTAGTATAAGTAAGTAAAATCTTGGACTTAAGTACCAAACATATTGACACATTTGTTAATAAAACTTCAAAATACACTACGATACTATTTACAAAAACTTCTTAGTTTATAAATAAATGTCAAGCTTAGAATTTTATGGTTAAATCACACACACCATGAATATTAGTTTCTAACAAATCTCTATTTGATATAGAAAACTCATGTTTCATCATAACCCGATGTAAAAGCGTTAATATGTTTGTAAAATCACATATTTACAAGCTTACTGAAACATTTGTGAACAAAACTTCATGATGTACTAATATGCTATTTAAGAAAACTTCTTAGTTTATAAGATACTGACATACACCTGCCATATATTCTTGTTCAAGTAGGTTATTATTTACCATAAATGAAACATAAGGGAAAGTAATCAAAGTTTCTTTATTTTAGAAACTATACAAAACATTTTGTACATTTGAAAACTAAACTGTCTGTCCCTCGTTGTGCTGACCTTCACATACCACTACCCTACAGCTTAAAACTGATGTGTTATCTTCAATGTATAATAAGTAAAGATTTGTAAAGTATCACACGTACATAGGTTTACTGTCTGTTATTACAGAATCATCTTTGAAACTAAAAAAAACTATATGTCCACTATACATGAACTCTCACAAAATATATTTAGATATATTCTTACACTTTATATAATATTACAGAAACCTAAATGTAAATTCACAATATTTGATGGTTCAATAGGAAATTATTTTCTACTTGTAGTGTTATATTTAAACGACAAATATGTGAAACTTAGTATAATGGACGTAACAACTTATTTAGATTGTAAACATACTGGATTTATAAAACGTTAAAGAAAAGGTAGGTATTACTTACATATAAACGATATATAACATATAAACGTTTTATATAAGCCATCGAAATACATACTGTTTTTGGTACATTTCCTGTATATTTATGTCTAATAGATTTGCTTTATTTACACCATCATATGAGTAAACATTTAAATATTCCCTAATGTTTAAGTATATG